TTTAGTTTATACACAACCTAACACAGCTACTAAAGGATCATACAGCCAAAGCTTTTCAGACTATGCAGGGTAGAACTCAGATGACATCTAGAGGACATCTACTTCTTTTTTAGCAAAAATATTTATTTCAATATACAGTATATAAATAAATAAATAAATAAATATAACTCCACCTCCAACACTCTGCCAAGAGGCCCTTGTTGTTCACTCAGCAGCTCAAAACACACTAAAAACTTGTTACACAGTTTGCCACAGTTCTAGTGGCCAGCTACTGCAACAGGCTTCACTGCTGTTTGGGCTGAGGACTCTCTAGACCTGGATTTCCAGTGGTCAGAGGACCTTTCAACCACAGTTGCGTAACTAGGGTGAGTGAGTGAGTGAGCACCAGTCCTGGGCAATGATTTAGAGGGGGTGGCAGAATGGCAGCCCCCAGGAGTTGGAAGCAAGCATCTGGAGCAGCAACTCATGTGCTGTAAGACTCTCCAGGAACCTCTCCTCCCCTCACTCTCAGGTATCTATGCCCAGGATGCCTCAGTTCTATACGTGTGGTTCATACGTCTTAGGCAAGTGCCCTAAACCCTCAGCTATTAGGGCTAAAATATGGGAGAGTCCTCCTTTATTTCCCTTCTACCCGCTAGTCATGGATCTTTGCTAAGCATAATTTTGTGACTTACATGCACTCACAGGGTGTGGGCTTGTGCCCCCAGATCTTCACGGGATGAGGGGAGGGTGGGCTGCAATGGTGGCAGCGCTGGGAGGGGCCTACAGGTGGGGTGGGGCATGGGGAGGCATGTGCCCCCGGATTTGCGTGGGGCAGGTGATGGTGTTGCTGGGAGGGTGCTACAGGGGGGACTGCAGCCACCCTAAAAATTGCTGTGGCCACCCCATAACCCCCCTCCCAGAGCTTCTGCTGCCTGCCCCATGCAGATCCAGGGGCACACACCCCCCCCCTTTTCCCAGCCCCAGCCTGCAGGTGCAGCCCACCCTGCCCTCACCCCGTGAAGATCCAGGGGCACAAGCCCTCACCCTGTGCCCTCCTGGGGTGCATGCAGCAGCAGGAGCTACCCCCATACCCCCGAGACGAGCTGTGGCTCCATCCCATGCCCTGAAACAAGTACTTTCAGGTAGCCCTCCCTGGGCCAGGAACACAAATTTGCCATAGAGCAGCAGGGAGGATACTTCATAGAATCATAGATTTGGAAGGGACTTCACGGGTATCTAGTCCAACCCCCCAGCATGAATGCAGCAATGTTATTCTTAAACGGTTCTTATAAAAAAATGTATCTGGACTCATCTTGGCTTGTACAGGGAAGCAGACTGACAACTTTGGGGTTAGCAGCATCACGCTGTCGCCAGCTGAATAAATTAGCCAAAGCAGTGCTCAAAACAGCAAAAACAAAAGAGCAGCAAAAGAAGGCCCAACCACAAGGATCCCTTGCTGGGCTAGCTTGCTTACCGCAGACAGCAGCCAAAAGCTGGTTCTGATTTACCCAACTCTTGAGCCTGTCTAGGTCCAGCTAAATCTGCAGCCTATCTTCAGGCGCGACCATGCTCCCCCATAACTTGGTATCATCCGTGAATTTGGCCAGTGAGCTCTTCACCCCAGCGTCCAAATCATTGCTAAAGATGTTGAAAAGCACTGGACCCAGCACGAACCCGAGGGACACCACCGACCACTTCTTGCCAGGACAACAGATCCATTCATAAGAGCTCTCCATGTCCTACCTTGCAGCCAGTTTCCTACCCACTTAACCGTTGAGCAGTTAAGCCCATAATCTTCCAATTCTTCCATGAGGATATCATGGGATACTGGATCAAAGGCCTTTTGGAAGTCTAGGTTTAGAATGTTGACCTCCTCTCCCTTGTCCAGGTGGTGAGATACCTGGCTGTAGAAGGAGAAGAGATTAGTAAGACAAGACCTGCCCACGACAAAGCCATGCTGGCTGTTGTTCAGAATCCTACCCTCTGTGAGCATACTGCACATAGACTCCTTGATGAGTTTTTCTAGGATTTTCCCTGGGATAGAAGTCAGACAGATTGGTTTGTAGTTGCCCGGGTCCTCCCTCTTCCCCTTCTTGAAGATAGACACAATACTGGATCTCCCCTGAGCACCATGAGTTTTGGAAAAGTTTTGCCAGGGGTCCTGCAATGACCTTGCCCGGCTCCTTCAGTACTCTCGGGTAGAATTCATCTTGTCCTCCTGACTTATAAATGTCTAGCTTTTCTACTTGGTCATGCACAAGCTCAGCATCAACAGTGGGAAGGCGGTCATTCCCACCATGCCCCCTGTAGACCTTATCTAGCATGTTTTTCCCCTTGGTCCAGTGAAATACCAAAGCAAAGTGGACATTCAGGAGTTCATTTTTTTCCTGAGTGTCCGTTACCAGCTGTCCTGAGGTGTTAAGCAGGGGTCCCACACTTCCATTTGTTTTCCTTCTACTGCCTACATACCTACAGAAGGACTTCTTATTGTCCTTGATTCTCACCACTAACTTAAAATCAGTCGCCACCTTAGATTTCCTAATCTTCCCCCTGCATGTGCGGACTGCTGTTGTATAGTCTTCCTTGAGGACTGTCTCTAGCTTCCATTGTGTGTGCCTTTTTTTTTTCAAGGCAACCATGATATCCCTATTAAGCCAAGAGGACTTGCCAGCCCTTCTACCTTTCCTCTGCAGGGGAATGGTCTTTTTTTGTGCTTTGAGGATCGTGTCCTTGAAGAACAACCACTCTTCATGCACTCCATTTGCCTTTGGCCCCTGGTCCCACATCGCTTCCCCTACTAATGGCCTGAGCCTCTTGCAATTCGTGTTTTTAAAGTCGAGGACTTCAATTCCGCTAGTTGATTTGTCTGCCTTGCGGCAGACAGTGAACCTGGTGAGCTCAAGATTGCTGTCGCCCAGGCTACCTTCAATATTCAAACTGCTCACCAGATCATTTCCTTTAGCCAGGACCAAGTCTAGGAGAGCGAAAAGCTGACCGGGCGTCCTGTAGTGTCATCTACCTACATCGCCAGGGTTGAAACCATCCTACCAATACGATCATTACGAGACCGGGACAGGCGGAGCCGAGGCCGGGCTCTGGCTGGACTCTATGTCCCAGGCCCCCGCGCGCTGTCGGGCGGGGCCGCTTCCTCCCAGCGTCCCCCGCGGCGCCAGCAGAGGCCGGAGCCGG